CCTCAACCGCAGCGATGTGTTGTTGGGATTTGAATGATGTCAGCATCCAGCGTTGCCATTTTAGCCGTTTTCCGGCTAGATTTAGCCGGTTACGACAACAAACAGCCGGAAAAAATTCGATTTAGCCGGCAGCCGATTTGTTAGCCGTTTTGCAAAAAAAAATTAGCCGTTTTTAGCCGATTTTGCTCTTCGCCTTATTTTATTAAAATTCAAATATACAAGTTTTTTATTTTACAAATTTAGTGCTCCAGAATCTATTAGAAATGGCTAGTCTTATCTCTGAGAAAATTTTCATGTCGGACTGTGTTATGTAAAATTGAAAAACAATCAGATAGTGAGCCGATTTCAATGTTTTTTGTTTTAAGCGAGTGACCCAAATACACATAAACTGGGAGGCGTCATTTTAGCAGATTAAAAAGTTACAAGTTTTGCTGAAATTTTCCACAATTTTCATAATTTTACACCAAGTGTGAAATCTGTTTGTAGTATATGTTGTTTGTTAAGTAATGTGCTACATATTCATAAAAAATAATAAATATTAAATAAACTAAAGAAAAATAGGCAAAACTTGCTTAAATTTTGCGTCCCAGTATATATTTGGGAGAACGTAGCGGGAATTTTCTGCATAAAATTTTTGTTATGAATGTCTTAAATTTAAGTGTGAAGTTTTATTCGCTACACTTAGAAAATAAAAGAGCACGAATTTCGATGTGGAGCAAAACTCTCTGGGAAGACAATACATGGTGCAAACATACCTTTTTAATTTTATAAAATAAAACTGCAGTAGTTTTCATCTTATGTGGATAATTCGTGTGACAAATACATAGTTTCGTGCTTATATTTTTGTATATATATTTTTAGCAGCACCACATCTTTATCAAAATCCGAGCATCCAATAATTGGTACTGTTACAAGTTGCAGGCACCATTTTAACTCGACCTCTTTCCTGTTCCACGGAAAATGGTACATCTTTCAGAGGTTTAAAGATATTTTGCGTCAGCAATTTGTTATCAACCTACGTACCCTACCTCGGAAAAGCAAAAAACTTTATATTCGAACGTTTGCTCAGGTGTACCGAATTCTGGCAGTTTGGAAACGCGCAACACTTAATATTTTCATCCAACTTCACTGACTTCAAATTCTCAAATTTTTAAGAAACAAAAATTTTCTGCTAGTGAATCTGGTGGCATGATTTTAGTTAAATGTCATAAACTTGTTAAAAGTGAAGTGGTCGGCAACAACAATGAATGTCAATGCCTTCTGCTTTCACAGCTTTACGTGTTCATTTCTCAAAATATTGCCCTCGGACTTTCAGCTAATATAGCTATTTTGCGGGACAAAAAGCAACCTACTGAAAATGATCCAATATTTATAAGAAGGCAAAATTGTTTAATAGAAAAGAAAACGCGATAACTTTGTAATTTATCTCTGTTTTTATATTTAAGTAATACAAACATGACTTCTGATGTAAAGCTTAGCTACGTATAACGACAGTTTCCTTTGTTAAACAAAAATAAAGTGGTGTACAGCTTACCTACGTATAAATAATCTTTATTAACCAAAAAAAAATTCAATGGATTGACTAGTCTTTCTAATTGTAGTTTATGTATTTAAAAAAAAATTAATTCTGGTTGAAACATTTTAGCCGTTTTTAGCCGTTTTTTTTGTCCAATCTAGCCGGTTGCCCTGAAAAGTTCTGGCAACACTGTCAGCATCTCTTTAAGCTCGCGATTCGCTCCTACAAAATTTGTCGCATTATCGGAAAACATCGTATGGCATCTACCACGACGGGCGATAAAGCGCTTTAAAGCAGCTATGAACGCCATGGTAGTCAAGTCAGGAACAAGCTCAAGATGGACTGCTTTCGTTGTAAAGCAAATGAATACAGCAATGTATACTTTGACAGGGCCCTTACCTCGTACGCGTTGTGTGATGAGAAAAGGTCCACAATAATCGATGCCCGTTACCGCAAATGGATGTGACGGTTCAACTCGCTCCCGTGGCAGCGCTCCCATGAGTTGACTGTGGCTTATTGCGATAACATAAAATACAACGGTGTACTACTTGTCTTATTATGCTGCGAGCATTTCTGACCCAGAATTTGTCTCTTACGATGCTCAACAGCGTTTGGCACCCAGCGTGCGAATGACGACGATGAAGGTGTTCGATGATAGTGCGAACGAATGGGTGTGACCTCGGTAGTACAATGGGGTGCTTGGCGTCGAATGGCAGTGATGAATTGGTGATTCTCCCCCCAACGCGAATTATCTGGTTGTGTAGAAAGGGCGGGAGTAGATTTAAACTAGACTGTGGACTCACTCTGCCTTTCTGAAGCCCCTTGTATTCTTGAGGAAAGTATTGTTGCTGAAGGTAGCGAAGAACTAGCATCAAAGAGTCGTTCAATTCCGGAGTGGTTATGGCGCCAGGCTCAGTTGGTAATTTGCGAAGTTTGTCGAGGAAACGTTGAACGTAAGCAAATATTCGAAGAAGCTTAAAATAATTATTTACGAATTTGTGTTCAGCAACGATGCCTTCAACCTGCGTTAATAAAAGGGTGTGGTGTTGCTTGCGCTGCTCTGGCATATTAATAATGGCCTTCATTGGACTGGAAGGCCAGTGCTGTTGTTGTAATTGTATAAATTGTGGTCCGTGGAACCACAACTGGTTGTTGATGAGGTTGTGCACCGTCACTCCCCGCGACACTAAGTCAGCAGGGTTTTCCGAAGACGATACATGACGCCAAGTGTATCCCGCTGTGATCTGCTGTATTCTTGCTACCCTATTAGCTACAAATGTAGTCCAACGCGATGGTTCACCCTGTATCCACGACAGGGCAATCGTGGAGTCAGACCAGCAGTATATGTTGCGTGCATTAATAGTGAGTGTGGCTACCAATGATTCCAGTAATTCTGACAACAACAGAGCAGCGCATAATTCTAATTTTGGCAGGGTGGTCTCTTTAGTGGGCGCTACTCTTGACTTTGCCGCGATAAGCGACGAATGTGGGCCTCCATCAGCGTTAGAAACAGCATATACGCACGCTCCGTAAGCCTTGGTACTCGTATCTGCAAAGGCATGCAATTTAGTGCTAGAGTTAAAACATACGAACCTTGGAAGATGAATTTTTTCGATGAAGGTGAGTTGGTTACATATATCGGCCCATTGTGTTTGAATCGCCAGAGGTACACTTTCGTCCCAGGTTAAGCGCAATTTCCATAATTTTTGCATCATTATTTTGCATGGGACGATGATGGGGTTTATAAGGCCGAGTGAGAGTATCATGCGCTTGCTGGCCTTCTGCAGCCGTTTCTGAGACGGTGTGTATGAAAAAAAGAAACAATCGGTAGCAGGCGACCACTTTAATCCTAACGTTTTGATGTAGTCAATATTTTCAACGTTTATTACGGGTTCCTTGTCCGTCTCTGAAACATCGCCGATAATGCTCTGATGATTTGCTGCAAATTTTCGAAGAGCGAACCCTCCCTTGGCGAGTAAATCGATGACTTCCCTTTTGATTGCTTTGACTTTTTCAATTGTGGCGCCCCCTGTCATCAGATTGTCGACATAGAAGTCTCGCAGAGTGACAGTAGCTCCAATTGGGTGGGTGGAGATGTTGTTGTAAGCCAATTGCTGTAGACATCTCACTGCCAAAAACGGAGCACAACTAGTTCCGTATGTTACTGTCTGTAGCTGATAGGTGGTCACCGGCTCGCTTGGAGAATTTCGCCATAAGATGCATTGCCATTTCGCATCTCTTTCACCGACCATAATTTGCCGGTATATTTTCGTTATGTCGGCCATTAAAACATAACGGTGTGTGCGAAAACGAAGCAATATTGTAAATATATTGTCTTGTAATGTCGGACCAACGCGGAGAATTTGGTTGACGGCAATACCGTTGTCGGTACGGCAAGAGGCGTCAAACACAACACGTAGCCTTGTAGTCGAACTGTCCGCCTTGGTAACGCAGTGGTGTGGGATGTACGTACCTACTTTCGATGACAATTCGCTTGGTGAAATCTTGAAGTTCTTGTATTCGGCCCCGGTCGGATTATTTATCAGCATTCCCTTTTCGACTGATAAAAATCGACGACGGGCGATATCGTATGATTGCCCTAGTTTGCTCGGGTTGGTGGAAAATGGAAGGCCCACAATGAATTTGTTGGTCTCTGGGCAACGTCTTGTTGTTTGCGTAAAGTAGTGTTCGCATTCTTGTTCCTCAGCGGTACGCATTGTTGATTTTTGTTGGTATTTGTCTTCCAAATTCCAGAACTTCTCTAAGAGAGTGTCCAATGTCGGTTGCGAATGCATGGTGAGCGAGATATAACTTGATGTGTGTGATGAAAATGGTGGAGGTAACGACGACGATGATATTGGCGACGCCGATGATGTTGGCGATGACGATGATGTTGGCGATGACGATGTTAGCGGCGAAGACAAGGATGATGATGTGATTAGTGACGACACTGAAAGCAGCGAAGATAAAGACGGCGATGAGTGTGATGTTATGGCTCCAGCGACGATCCAACCCAGTTGTGTTTTCTGGAGAGTCGGCAAGTGTTTGCTTAGTTTTATTTGACCCACTGATAGTATGTAAAAAAACAAACTCGCTCCGATGAGGATATCAATGGGTCCAGGATGATTAAATCGACTGTCGGCAAGGTTGATGTTGTTGGGAATACCCCAAGCGTTAATATTAATGCTCTGTTGCGGCTGGTTTGAAGAAATCGATGGCAATACAACAGCCTCTAGTACTGAAGAGAAACCAGATTGCATTGATTCGAATTTAATCGTTACAATGTGATGTGACATTGTAGTCACAGCACCAATTCCGCATATTTCTACATTTGCCTTAGTGCGAGGAAGCTTGAGTATCTGAGCCATGTGCTTAGTTATGAAATTCAACTGAGAGGCTGAGTCAAGGAGTGCCCGAGCCGTTATCTTAGTAGTGTGCATGTTGCTCAGCTGTACTAAGCCTGTTGCGAGAATGACGTCACTATGGCAATTGTGAATATAAAGCGAAGCTGATGATGGAGATGCAGCCTCCTTTGTTTCCTGACGTTGGGACCCTGGTGTGTTACGATGTAAGAGCGTATGATGGCTGACCTTGCAATGTTGACATCTTCTGAATGATGGACAGTTGCTTGAAGAATGGTTCATGCCTAAGCAATTTAGACAGAGATGTTTTCGCTTGGCTAGTAAGAAACGTTCCATTGGGTCTAACGCCATAAATTTGCTGCAGCTGAATGCGTTGTGAGTCGCTTGCTCGTCGCACAAGTGGCACTTGTTGGGTTGGGTTGAAACTAAGCTGGTGTGCGATTTCGATGAACGATGATGTGTTGATGGCGATAATGGTGTCCTTTTTGCTGATGTGTAAGGTGATGGGAGGTTCCGGCTGGCCTCAATGATGTTAAAACTCTGACAGCGGCGCTCAAGAAACCCAGCTAAATCATCCCATGAAGGCAGTCTCAATGACGAAGAAGTATTGCTCCATTTCGTGGCAACCTCGTCCTCCCACTTGGATTGAGTGGCTTCATCGAGCTTAGAGGTAAGCATATGTAGAACTATTCCGTCTGCTATCTGCGATTTTGATGCCAATGACTCCATGGCACGTAGACTGCCGTTGACTATATCGATAAACTCTCGTAAAGTGGATGCGGATGGCTTCACAACACGCTCAATTTCGAAAATCCTCTTTAAGTGTGATTGGAAAATTAAGCGTTTGTTGTCATACCGTGCTGTGAGTAGCTCGATAGCCTTTCGATAATTTATCGCTGTGACCTCTAGTGCCTGCACAAGGCGCGCTGCCTCGTCGGTTAAGCATGACCGAAGATACTGAAATTTTTCGATCTCTGATAGCTCGTTGTTGGTATGCACGAGCACGGAAAACATGTCGAAGAAATCTAGCCAATCTGCATGGTGGCCAGAAAATTTTGGTAATTGCAGCTTTGGTAAGTGGAACCTTGACTGCGACGTCGACGATAGAATGCGGGTGCTACTCAAGGTTTCGGGCTCAGCAGCACGAAGCTGAGCGAGCCGCTCCATGATAGCGGATTTTACGACGAAATACGCTGTTTCACAATTGGTACGATGCATTCCTTCTAACTCGGATTCATCGAGTTCTTCAAGGTGCGACTGGATTGCTTCAAAATTGTCCAGTTGACGATGCAACATCTCGAGCTTGACCTTGAGCATCGGTTCAGCCATTGTACTTAGTTCCGCTAAGTTCATGCGAGAACTTTCGAGACGCTGCAAAAGTAATTCCCGCTGTCGAACCTTAACGCGAATGTTATTCGACACAGCTGGCTGTGCGGGCGTTGATTCGCCATCAATCGCTTGAAATTCCACGTTGCCGTACATTATTAAATTGAAACAATTAACGCGGAGCCGGTGTTTAACATCCGGCTCGAAGGACCTTTATGTTGGGGCACAAAGCGTTTTTTGTTGCCCTTAGAAAGAAATTAAAACAACGTTGATGTGCTTAACTAATAATGACCTTTATTAAGAAATCAAAATATGCCAGATTAGACGTGTGGCCGTGTCGAACGATGGACTGTAATTCGTTTTACAGAATTAGCATAGAATGTACAAAAGGTAATTTCTAGTCGCGTTATATGTATGTATATCCGTACGTATATATGTACATATGTTCGTGTATATGTACATACGTACTTATGTATGTACATATGTACGTATGGATGTACATATGTACCTACATATTTGCATAGGTAACCAGTTATTTTTTTTCTACTCAGGCCGCTAGCGGGACATTATTTGCTATGTTGGGTGGTTGTTGTTGGTCGTAGGTGGCGTGAGTTCCGCTGCTTGGCGTTGGTATAGAACTCGATGTTAAGGTGGATGTCACGCGCAAGAGTGAGGTGGGGGTGCGATGAAAGAGTGCGCTTGAAACTCCCTTCGAAGAGAGTGAGGGGGTGATGACAACGAAGATGCGAAGAGTGTGTGAGATGACGTAGCGTTTCGCCTAACGATGGTAAAAGGTGCGACACTAGTTGCCGTCCCTGAACACTAATAAACAATTAAAATAAAAAAATAAATATAATGAGGAAGAGTTTTCGATTTTAAAGTAAGGAAAGTTTTTCTTTGATCTAGAGATGGATTTTTGGTTCAGTGTAAATAAAACATCTATTCCTGAAACGACATCAGAAGTGCCTACATCTAATCCGAAAAAGTTTTTCACAACACAGGAAGCCATAGAAGCATTTAGGCAAGATCTAATACAAAAAGAGAAAAATATTTCGGGAATAATTGAGAGCTCACAACCCTTTTATAGACATTTTCAGTTTCAATATGAAGATAATATTATGATATGAATTCGCTGTACATATGATTGTGATTTGCTTCAACGTAAACTGAATATTTCTTGTTTTGTGTATCGCCAGGTTGCATTCGAGAAAATTTTAAGTAACGGTGAAATTGAAATTGTTACTGGAGATGATATCACACTACGCTCAGATGTCACAATCATTGATATTAAAAGTTATAAACATTATATGGATTTGGAAATTTCTTAACTTTTAATACTATAATATGGATTTGCCGTATTCATATGACATATAAAAAGAATACAAATGTAGTATATAAAAAGATTAATTTGCTATTTGCTTTTCATTACTCAGCGGAGAGTGATCGATTAGTTAATAAAATTGGTGGTTCTAATACATACTTATGTTCACAATTATTTAAATAGGATTTGAAGACTCTAAAAAAATAATATAAACTTTTATAGAAATTCATAAGACTATTTTTTAAGCGAATTTAAAAAAAAACCCAATCTATATAATGTTAGAGGAATATACGTTGGTTATAGACGTTCAGAGGTTCTATTTTAATAGGAAATTTATTGCTAAAGAAGTCAGCATATCAGCATATATATAACATATATATCATATATAAAAACCTTCCTTATTCAACCTCGTTTTGAAGAATCTAAGTTGATGATACGGGATAAAACAACTAATAACTGGTTATATCATAATCATCATGGATTAAAACGGGAAGATGGTGATTCGACTTTAATGGCTGTTATTGAATATATCCATTCATTAATGAAAAGAAAAAATTATATATTCTATGCTAAAGGATTGGAGAAAATCAGATGGATTCAACGTTTATTCGGATACGATATTATTTTATATAATTTAGATGATTTAAATTGTCCAAATTTAAAGAATTTATATATTAAAAATATAAATATAAATACTTGTAAATATCACGAAAATTCTATGATATGTGCTGAAAAAATGTAATAATATTAAGAAAATTTATTTCTTCATTAAATATCTAATAATAAATAAGTAATTATAAAACTTTATTTTATTTCAAATTAATTTTTTTGTTCTCATCATCAACATCAGCAGAGTTTTCCATTCATATGTGAAAGATTAAAAGATTTCGTATTATTTTTGAATTTGTTAGACATTCGGTGACTCTTTTGAATTTAATAAATTTGTCTTTCAATGAATATAAACGAGAAAAACAAGTATCTTAATCTTTTTCGAAACGATGTATTATTAATATCTCCTGCTTTCTGTATCAAAATATGAGTTTTCATAAAAAAATATGCTTAAGAACTTTTCTCACTAAGTTAGCAATATATGAATGAATAATGCTAGATGAATAAAACATTTAAATATACTCATAATTTTATAAGCATTTTTTTATATGTTTATGTGGGATTCGTTATCGTCCACTTGGCGTTACTATACTTATTAGGCAAACAATGATGATGAAATCAAGATCGAGGCTATTTATAATATTAGCATTTGATTTGACTCATATAATAAAATTTAAATAGGGTAATAAAAAATAAATATATTCTTTGACAGCAACATTGAGTTCAAGATTATTTCCACATTTTTAATTGAATCATATTATGAGGCATAAAATAGATTACTAAAGTATATGTATATTTAAATATGTTCTTTATCAACAGTTCACCTCAATGCTCTTTATATAGTTATGAAATGTGTATAAATAAGCTAATACTGCACATGAGAAATTATTACTTTGTTTAAAGCTACTAAAACACATCATGCCTGGACTCAATCGAATCCTCAATAGCGAGCATCATGGAGAGTACAACTTCGATTTCGAATTGGAAATGTTGTGCTTCGAAGACATGAAAACCCCATATATATGTATTGAAGATGAAGATGAGGGTCCCCGGTTACAGGTTTTGGGCATCCCAGTCAGAGCAGCCCATGCTTTTTTTAACAAAAAATGGGATGAAGAGGATGACAATGGCAAATTTTTAACAGTGGTTGGCGTTGAAATTGAGGAGTATATTATGGAGCAGGATCAAAACCAACATGAATATAAAAGAAGGGGTTTAGATATTAAGAATAAAGTATAGTATTATAGGAGAACAAATAGGGAAGCGATTTATGATATAGAAGTTTATTCTAAATCATATAATAATATTGTATTTGAATATAACTTAACTGTTGAATTAGTATTTAGAAATTTAAAATTTAATTATATAGAACCATAAATTTATTAAAAAACTTCAGCGTTTATTTGAATATAATATTATTTTATATGAGAGTTATTTATGAAAAAAGGTTTATTTATAAATCGTTAGTCGTTGGAAAAGGTTTTATAAACAATATAATTAATAAGCTTCCTATTGAACTTCATTTGCTTTCATAAGCTTCCTATTGAACTTCATTTGGAAACTTTTAGTAAGAGGAGATTGAGGGATTAATCTACTAGACACTGCTTGTTGAGTACATGATATATCATATTTATATAATAAAGATTTAGATAACCGACATATTGCTGATAAAAAATTGGGCTTGGGAAAGAGTTAAAGCGAAGGATAGCAATCTTAATGAGAAAACGAATGCTTGGTTAGTTATAAATATACTGAAGACAGAAACGAAATTCGGTATGGGGAACGCTTATAGTAAAACTAAAAAAGTGGGAGGATAAACTGGTTATCAGCTCTTCAATCATGCCTTAAAAAGTGCTAAACAAAATTTAAAGAAAAGTGATAACTTAAAAGATGCAATAAAAATTTCACGAAAGGTTGTAAATAATATTTTTAGAGGACAAAATCTAAAATAAAAACACCACGTGTAATATCATTACCTAAATCTGGAGGATTTCTCCCATTAGCGCCTTTATTCGTAGCATTAGGAGCACTTGGAAGTCTATCTGGCGGTACAGCAGGAATTATTAAAACAATCAATGCTATAAAAACTGGAAAGGAGCAGTTATTGGAGGCGAAACGTCATAATAATACAATGGAAGCTATTTCAATGGGAAAAGACATATTCTTAAAGCCTTATAAAACGGGATTCGGATTATATTTAAAACCATACCAAAAAACTCTTAATGAGGCTACTTAGAAGACCTCTTACTGATGAACACTTGAAGAAGTATTCAAAATTTATTCTAAATTTTAGAGGGGTATTCATGTGTGACACTTTACCACCTAAACCATTTAAGAGAGAATGTGGAATAATAAATTTGGATAGTTCAAATACTGGAAAACGATAATGAGATTGATTATTTCGATAGCTTATATAGGCTTATAGCCTCCTGAACATTTAATAAAGTATTTAGGAAAAACATTGAATATAACTATAATAAACAGCAATTAAGCTAATTTAAAAAAAGCTCAAGCTGTATAATGTCAGAGGAATATACGTTGGTTATAGACGTTCAGGGAGTCTATTTTAATAAGAAATTTATTGCTAAAGAAGTCAGCATATCAACATATGATTCACATGTAACAACGTTTCTTATTCAACCTCCTTTTGAAGAATCCAAGTTAACGATACGGAATAAAACAACTAACAACTGGTTATATCATAATCATCACGGATTGAAATGGGAAGAGGGTGATTCGACTTTAATGACTGTTATTGAATATATCCATTCATTAATGAAAAGAAAAAATTATATATTCTATGCTAAAGGATTGGAGAAAATCAGATGGATTCAACGTTTATTCGGATTCGATATTATTTTATATAATTTAGATGATTTAAATTGTCCAAATTTAAAGAATTTATATATTAAAAATACAAATATAAATACTTGTAAATATCATAAAAATTCTATGATATGTGCTGAAAAAATGTAATAATATTAAGAAACTTTATTTCTTCATTAAATATCTTATAAATAAGTAATTATAACACTTTATTTTATTTCAAATTAAATTTTATTTGTTTTCAACATCAACAGACCTTTCCATTCATATATATGTATATATACACATACATATTAAATACTTAGCAATTAACTATGTGAACATTATTAACACACTTTTCTAGGGGTGGAGCATCAATATATGTATATACATTAGACTGCATCACCAAAAAAAGTTGCAG